TGCTCTCTTCACAACAAGAAAATCCCACTTGTAGGCAATGAAAGCACTCTAGCTTTTGGCCATTTGGAGAATCACATCCTACTTTAGGCTGGATGTGGGTTCCCACAAATCCTGTACTTTCATCAGGCGTTGCAGGCAAAGCACCTTTGGCTACAAAGCACAATTAACCTCAAACAAAACACTCCCTCAGCTACAAACCCTGGGCTGAGCTTGCCCCGTGGCAGACACCAAGTAGTCTCTCTAAATTATTTCCTCCTTTGGCATTTTATCTGTTCAACAGTAGTAACCAATACTTCTGAGTTTGGGAAGCTTTGCAGCTTTATGGAGACAGCAGGATTCACAAGGGACTCGCTGAGCTCTTCTAGCTCTGTTTAAGGTTCAGCCAGGCACCGCTGGGAACTCATCGTCACCCGAGCACAGATTGAACAGCTTAGATCTTTTGTCTCTCTCTTTTAAGATGGGGCAGATTATTTTCCACAGCAGGTAAAATTTCATCCAGGGCTGCCATTACCAAAACAAGGCTAGAAGTATGAGGTTAAGGAAAGGCTGTTTTCTTACTTCCAAGGTTTGCAGGAAGCAGCATGACAGCAAAGCAGCTACCGAGGCAGCGGTTTGGGGTTGGCTGTTCTCCTTTATGTTCCTAGTTGATGCTAAGTGCTTGAACCCCACATCTACCCCTCCCAATCCAGAGACAATCTGCTCGTATCTCAGTAAACATGGCTTTCCCTAATCTCCTTCTCAAGTCTGTATGATAAGTGCTATGATGTGAAAACGCCTGTTCTGAAGGAGACAGCATTATGAAAGATTAAAACCCCACAGGAGAAGGTTTCAAAGCAGCAAGGATCAAGGCAGGTAAAACTCAGCGTTGTTCTAGAAGGCTGTGGTGAGTACAGGGAGAAGGGAAAGGAGCTGCAGTCATGGTGGGCCCATCGGCTATGAAAGCACAACCTCCAGCTTCACACCCAAGCTTCTGTCACTCAGCGTCCGTGGGAAAGGGGGGAAATTAAATTTAAAAGTGGTCGAACTAAAAATGGAGCTGTAGTTGTGATTTGAAAACCAGTGGGGGTGCTGAAATGGTGCAGTTAAAAACCATCATGCACGTTTGTGCTTACACAAAGGAAGGAAGGTTTCAACAAGCACTGCAGAGCAGAGGGAGGAGGAGGAGGAGGGCTGCTCGGCCGGCGGCACCGCCACCCTTGGGCTTCTTCTACACGCAAAGTCCAGGGATGGAAAGCAAGAGCTCTGATTAAAATGCTGAAGATTTTAGAAGTGTAATGGCAGGTAGAAAAGTACACTGGTCTCGTGTCAATGGCAGCCCCAGTGTTAGGAGACAGTCTAGGCTTCTAGGAGGAGAAAATAGAAGAGAGGAGAAGAAGTGGGGGAGGGAAAGGGGATGGGGAAAGGGGCAAAAAAGCGCAAGTGATTAGTAAACATGAACATTCAGGTAGCACACTGCACAACAAGCAACATTTCATTTAGTGCAGCCAGGAGATTTGCCAAAAGCCAGATTGGAGACACACAGAATTTTGCTTTTAGAACTGTCTGAAAAGCCCTCAGCAGCCGTGCCGTGGTGTGACACTGAGCCACACACCCCACTCAGCTGGGATAAACCAACATCAGCGGCAAATCGCCATCGAGGGAGCGGCAGCTGCTCAGGGTGCTTGTGAAAAGCACAATTTGCACTGAAAACAGTGACAAAGGATTTCTGTGACCCCGTCACAGATGACAGGAGGGCAAGCAGGAAGGGTGGAGAGAAAGTCCAGCTAGGGGAAGTATGAGCACTGAAGAACAATACTTCCCTAGGTCACCTCTCACCTTCCAGCAAGATCATGAACAGGACCTTGGAACCAGAGGTATCCAGGACCATCCCTGCTGCATTTCTTCCCAGAAATTTGTCTTTTTTGTTTTTTTAAATGCAGCAAACCCTTGAACTCTAGGCAAATATCCTGCAATAAGGAGTTGCAAATGTTGCACCGTTCAAAAATTAGGCATTTTTTTGTTTTTGTTGTTTTAAAGCTGGTGTTATTACCAAGCACCCCCTAAGCTCGGGAGGGGGAGAGTTAGCAGCTGGCTCCCTAACTCAATACCTGGAAGCTGTCAGCAGTTCGGAGCCCTCCCCGAGTCCCCCCAGCCCCGCCGGCCGGCTGGAGCTGCACCAGATGTGCACAGCTGCCCGGGGAAGGCTGCACCAGCACGCTGCCATTTCTCCTTATAAGGAAGAGCAGCTCTAATAGAGAGTTTCGGGCTCTGTGCTGACTACTCAAGGCAGAGCTCCCAGCCTGTGGCTCTCAAATGCTCAGAAAAGCGAAAGGCCACGGGCCAAAGAAGCGATCGCCCCACGGGGCTCGGCACGGCCCAGGCTGAGCCCCTCAGAGCAAACGGCCCCTTCCTCCCCCCCAGAGGGCTGCAGAGGGTCCTCAGCCTCACAGCCACAGGGCTGAACCCTCCAGTGAACAGCCAGCATCAAGTGATGAGTGAAAAACAGTTCAGGTTTCTCCTCACAGTCTGAAGTGCTGCACTACGCCGAGCCCCGCACCGATGGCTGAACACGTCACTCTGCCAATCCAGAGAATCCAACAGCTCGTGTAGGTGTCTGCCCCCAGCTGCCTGAGGCTGGGGCTCATGCCATGACATTGTGGCATTTCAGAGCAGGGCATGCAGCACAGGCTGCCAGGCCAGCACTAAGGTGTCAGGCCCCTGCACTCACACCAGCTGGCCGTGGATCACGCTGCGTGCAGTGAAGCACGAGCAGGACATCACCCATCCTGCTTGGGGGTGCCACAAGGTGTGGTGATGCCTCCTGTGCCCTCCACCAGAGATGAGCACATGTTTGTATCTTCCAGTAGCTTAACTACGTATTTCTCCAACACTTTCCCTGAAGTCTGTTTCCAAATCCAGCTCAAACACAGCTCTGCTTTTAACAGCTCTCCCTGGAGCTCCTAATGCTACTTTTCGTGGCAGAGAGCTGGTTTCCCTGAGCACTCCCTTCCTCAGTCCTTTCTCAGCTGCTCAGTTTCCCACCTCTGCACAGAGCCCACACTGCACATCCAGGACAATTTTTTTGGCTTTAAAAAGAGACAGATGAGGGACTAGATCCAGCTGAAAACAAATAAGCCAGCCAAAAACTGCAGGTGGCTTAGGGCCAGGGACAAAAGGCTTTAGGCAGCACTACCCAGTAAGTGTAGAAGCTAAGGCTCTACTGCAGGCTGTCACCTGGGCTGAACAACCTGCCTGTGTGTCTGCAGAGCATCAGCTGCTCTTCAGCTCCAAAACCCCTCCATGACCTGATGGAAAACTAGTGCTTCTCCCTTCCCCTCCACTGTATAAACATGGGCACTTCAAGGATTCCACAGAGAAGGGGCAGGGGGAAGAGCCCATGAAGTAGCTGTGTTCTGTTATTCTGGAGCACCTAATTAACTTGATGCCTGTGACTCTTCATCCTCTGACATGCTGTTTCTGCCACTTTGATGTCACTTTTAGACAGCCTTTCACAAGAAAAAAAAAAATTCCAACTCTACCCCACAAAGATGGAAGATATTAATAAATTAACAAGCTTCAGACACATAAAAGCATCTTTGATCAAAGTTGTTAGCATTTAGTGTGTGAAGAGTTAAACCTCCAGAAAGGCAGCATGAAGTAAATAACAGAGCTTTTTAAACACAGGTCAGGTGTTCAACTAAAAAATCCCAGTGTGTTTAATTAGTCATACCTGGAGTATCATAAGCCTGATTTTATTTCTATCTCCTTTTAGTTATACATATTTAAAAAGAAAAAAAAAAGAGAGGCAGTATCTTTAGGAAGGTTCACAATTTTTCTTAAGTAGTTTTATACTACATTACAAAAGATGCACAACTTCTTTTTGACCAGATTTACACTGGCAAATTAAGTGCAAAGATCAATTTTATACTCCCATCCTCAACAAGAATGTGAAACCTGCTCACAAAAAAGTGTTGAACCTGTCTCCCACAGCTTCAGCATTATCTCCCAGGTTTATGATTTTTTCCTTGGGGCCACCAGGGATGCCAGTGCTGGGAACACCCCAACAGTCTGACAGCAATGACCTGTTCTGCTAAGGCTGAGCTGGACATGGTGAAAAAGCAAGACCAAATAAAGAGCTCTTACCAGTGCCAGGCTGACAATTGACTTTTGAACATTTCAGCCACAATAGGTCCTGTCAAAGCCCACCCCTCTTCCCAAAGGAGGTGATCCACTGGCTCAGGCACAGCTGCAGAGTTGGTTCTGCTTGTCCTGAACGGTCCAGTTGGAATTTGGCAGGAAACTCAATTTCATAGTAAGAATGTGTCATAAAAGGCAGCTGGTGTTTCTCATTAAATGCAACTGCTAAACTAAGACTAACTTCAGCACGTTAGGCTGATGGGAAAGGGCAATTTTTTTCCCAGATTCCTCACAAGTTTGAAATATTGGTCTACTTAAATCCCAACAAATTCCTTGAAGACAAAGCTGTCCTAAGGGTATTTGAAAAAAGGTTCAGAAGGCTTCAGCTTGGACACTGCCAAAGCCAAGACCAGGAGCTCTTCACAGAAGGGTATTATGGGATGGAAGGAGAAGCTGCAGTGTCATCTCAGCAGCAGCCAAGGAGCAGAGAATGAAAACACTGCATCAAAGGACAGTGCACTCAGAAGAAACATCACTGTCAGACTCAGAGGGAAGAGGAGAAGTCATACTCATGGGTTAGGGTAGAGCCCAGGTAGGAATATTGTGAAGTCACTGGAAAGCCACTTAGACATCAGTGCCCTAGTGCTGCCTTCCCAACACTGACCATGGATGAAGTACACAGCATCTTCAGGAGGAGGCTTTGTGCAAATCAGCATAAAAAAATGTTCTATTTTGTTTCAAATTCTTTGAAAAGATCATTAAATAACCACAATCACCTACGAAGAAATAAGACTCAAAAAGAAGATGCATTTGGTCACAATGAGGTTTTACTGCTCCAAGCACAAATAAAGGCAATGTGTCTCCTTCAGACACTCAGCACATACCTGTGTGATGATCTTCTATTCCATGGTCACCATTTTCTACAACCATTGGCCCAGAAGCTGAAGTATCTGCAAGAAATCAAAGGAAACGTGAGGACTGGATGAAGATAATCCTGACTGAAAGCTCAAAACCAACAATGTAAGGAGAACACTGTCATGCTACCAAACACAGATAAGGGCTTCTGGGTCATTTATTTCCACACAATTATTTTTGAAATAAGGCACCCACATAGCACTGAGTCTGCACAACTTTGAACCCAAAAGGGAGAGAGGAAGAGCTTTTCAATCACAGAAAATCTGCTCCTGTGAGGGAGACTCAAGACATAACAAGTAGAAGCTTCTTTATCTACTCACAGCATCGCTTCAAAGTGAGCTTCCCCAAGGGCCAGCACTGGCCATGGGACTGTGGATTTCCTTCAAGACAATAATGCTCAACCAAGCTGATAAAATCCCAACGGGCTTGGTGGGTGTGAAGCAAGAGCAGCTGATGCTGCTGACCTCAACACCAGCTCCCACAGCCTACTCACAGCCACGCTGACAAAGCCTGGCTGAGGGAACAGCACAGGGAGGTGGATGGCACGGGGCTGAAGAGCCCAGCACAGAGGGTGGTGACTGCCAGCACAAAGTCCAGCTGGAGACCCAGCAGCTGACACCCCTGCCAATACCATTAATTATCTCCATTAATGACCTGAGGGATGGAGAAGAGCACACCCTCAGCAAGCCTGCAGGTGACACTGGGAGGAGTGGCTGATAGGCCAGAGGCTTGTGAAGCCACCCAGAGGGACCTCAACAGGCTGCAGAGAGGCACAGAGAGAACCCCATGAAGTTCAAGGAGAAATGCAAAGTCCTGCTCCAAGGGAGGAGTCAGCCCAGTCACCACTGTCACTGGGAGCCAGCTTGCTGCAAGGCAGCTTCACAGGAAAAGCCCTTGGGAAAAGGGCTGGGAGAACAGGGCACAACACAGGACCCAGTGACAGCTGAGGCAGTGTGGATGAACCAAGGAGCCCAGCTCTGAACCTGGCTGTGCTGTCTGCTCAGGGGCCACCTTCAGAAAGCCACTCTGCTACCAGGCAGCCACCTCCCACTGGGTGATGTCTCTGAAAATGCTGCTCAGAAGCCTTGAGAATAAATAAGGAATTTCATTAATGGAACTATTATTTTTAAAATAAAAGCACACTTCTTGTTCTAGTTCTCAAACAGCTCTTCCCCAGGATCAAAATCTGCCCGTGCAGTTCTGTGCTCACCCCATCACCTCTGCACTGGGCTGCTGAGGGTGAGTGGAATCGCTTTGGCAAACTGCTTGAGGAATTTTACTGAGTTCAGGTGACTGCCTCTGAGATCAGCCTGTGGTCCTTACAAAAGGGCTGGGCTGTGCTGCTGCTGACACTGGTGCAGGCTGCCAGCAGCACAGTGTTTCTGAGGGTGACCACCACCAGGACAAGTGAATATTACGAAGCCAGTTCCCTAAAGTGAAGATCTCATCCTTGCACCAAGTCCTTTCCCAATTTGTTCTTTTAGAAATGCTGCTCTCTCTCTAAGAACTGAGACTTTGAGCTGAAAATCCCATTTTCCAGCTGTGAAACAGTGAAGTCATTGCAAGAAGGATACTGAGCAGTATTAACTGAGCTAAGACAAATAAGGACAATTCAGCTCCTTGGGACATGAGTTCTGCCTCTCATGAAGAAACACTCAGAGCAATGGCTTAAAACAATCCTGCAAGGAAATAAAATAAAATTGCTCCCACAGACACACAGATTCCATCACCTGCATTTGCTGCTGTCCCTTCCCTGAGCTCCAGGTTTTGGAACAAAGCTGCATTACCAGGGTACTTCAGAGAGAGCACTTCAGGGCTTAATCCACCCCCCAGTAACACAAGAGGGAAGTCGTTGCAGTTACTTCAGTGGCTCATCCTGGTGTTCTACGAAACTCAGCGTGAACTTGCCAGACAGCTTAGAGAAAAACATACACCTACATCCTCTTCAAGTAGCTGAAAATACTGCAGGGATCCCTGGACGTGTTCCCCAGCAGTTAAACACACCAGCTCCTCCTGCTGCCAGTCTCCACGGGCCTGGGACTGGCTGTGACTCCAGAGCTGCCTCAGCTAGTCCCTGGGAGGAGCACTGCCAGCCACTGAACTGACTGCTAGCTCAGGCAAGGGGCAATCAGGGTCACAGGATGGGCTACACCACGTCACAGCTCCCAGAGGGATGCTGCATGTCCCAGGGAGTGGGATCCTCCAGAGAGACCTGTGGGGACCTACAGAGCAGAGCTACAAGGGCCCTGCTGAGCCCCCAGTGAGGCAGTTGGTCAGTGCTGGGTTGGACTGGATCATCTGCAGGGTCTCCTCCAGCCCAAATGGTTCTGTGAAGCCCTTGCTCAGCTCAAGCACAAGAGCTACAAGTCCTCTGGAGTCAAGTGGGTGTCGTGACACTGGTTTAAGGAAGGTACTGGATGATCCCACAGCAGCAGAGGCCTGGCAAGTCTGCTCGAGCCTTTGTTCATGCCACACATGTCAAGAAAAAATATCTTTTGGTGGTGGGGAAAATAACCAGTAGTCCTCACTGCCTTAACCCACAAACTCACTCCCATCTCTTCAGTGTTTAAGCTCACGTTCTGTTTTACACTGGACAAAAAGATCACATGTTTTTAGTTTCCTCCAAACCTGACTGTGACACCTTGCACAGCAACAGAGCTGTTGAAACACTGCACAGAATCATTCCACTTAGAGAAGACCTGCAAGATCCTGGAGTCCAACCCTCCCCCAGCACTGCCAGGTCCCCACTGCCCCGTGTCCCTCACCCCACACCTCCACAGCTTGGGAACCCCTCCAGGGGTGGGGACTCCACCACTGCCCTGGGCAGCCTGGCACAGCCCTGGGCAACCCTCCAGGGCAAGAAATTGTTCCTCAGGGACAACTGAAACCTCCCCTGGGGCAACTTGAGGCCCTTTCCTCTTCTCCTGTCCCTTGTTCCTTGGGAGCAGAGCCCGACCCCCCCCTGGCTCCAGGCTCCTGTCAGGAGCTGTGCAGAGCCACAAGGTCTCCCCTGAGCCTCCTTTTCTTTCTTCTCTGGTTTTGAGATGCTACTGCCACTGCTTATGCCTTAAAAACAGGACTCAATCACAATCATGAGTGAACACTGCAGATTTGCTCTGCAAGCCTGTGTGCAGAGTTTGAGCAGGTGCTTTGGGCCACAAACACTGTTGCTCTGTAAGACTGCTCTGGCAGCACCTGGCAGGAGCAGCCTGTGTGCTCTGCACCACACAGTCCACCAAGGGCTGCTCCTGGCAGCTCTGAGCATTTCAGCATTTGGAAAACAAACACTTCACCTGTAGGCAAGTTTCATTTAGAGAGTGATCTCCTAGGTAGCAAGTGATGCAGGCCTACTGTCTTCTATCAAAAAGGAAAGCCAGAAGACACCCCCCATACCAAGGGCTCTGCAAACATAAAATGAAAAAAAAAAAAAACACAAACACACACACACCAAACCTGACAAAATATTACTCAAGGTTACCAAAGCTCATGGGAGATGAAAAGAGGGACAGCTCAAAGCCCAGCTCAAAGCCAGCTGTGTTTCTGGCTTAACCTTCCACAGAAGTGATAGGGCTCAAGTCTGTGCAGCTTCTAGACTACAAACACATTCCTTCAGAGAAGCTTCATAATGGGGCCAGACTCTGGTCAGTGGTGCCCAGGGACAGGACAAGGGGCCCAAACTGGAACCCAGGAGGTGCCACCTGAGCAGGAGGAGAAACTTGTTTGGGGTGAGGGTGCAGAGCCTGGAGCAGCTGCCCAGAGAGGCTGTGGAGTCTCCTGCTCTGGAGAGATCCCAAACCCTCCTGGCTGTGACCCTGGGCACCCTGCTGGGGGTGAGCTGCTGGAGCAGGGGGGTTGGATGAGATGGTCCCCAGAGGTCCCTCCAAACCTCACCATGCTGGGATTACTCTCATTCTATCCCCTGTATTCACTCATTTGTGAAGAAGAAAGAAAAGAAGAAAGAGAAAAAAAAAAAGGTAAGACACACATTGAAAATCCTGCACTGGCTTCAAGAGCACAAGAACTGGGGAAAAAGAACAGGTTAAAGCCACTGAGGGGTTCCTCTCCCTGTCAATGTGCTGCACAGTAAGTGCTCTCTGCCAGCTGCAGGTCACTTCTCTGCCACCAAAGCCACAAGGGGAAGTGATCCAAAAAGCTCCAGTTACCAGAGGGGCAGAGGAACCTGCAAGGAGCTCTCAGACAACAGCTTTTAACTCTCTCTAAAAGCTCTAGAAACACACAAGCATGAGCAGGACACTGCTGCACATCCATCATGCCAGGGTCTCTTCAAATCAAAGACTTGACCAGGCAAAATCTAAAGGTTCTGTGGCCAACAGGGAGTTCCAAACGAGCAGAAGAATCAGAAATGCCACGTCTTGCCTTCCATGCTCCCTGAGAGGGATGAAAAGCAGGTAAAATTGCTTCCCTTACAGTTTTAGCTTTTTTGGAAGTCAAGTTTCCAGAAAAACAGGTGAACTCAGACACCCCCAGCCAGCATCAGTAGTTTTTATCAGTTTTTATGTCTCTGAAGGTGAGCTCCTGTGCAGCAAGTCACACTTATCTGAGCGAGCTGGAGCGCAGCAGGAAAGGCCCCAGCAATCCTCCCAGGGTCTCCTCCCCTCATAGCCTAAACTGCATAAAAACAAAAACATGTCAAGATGTTGTAACTACATAATCCTCACCGGAATCACAAGATAGTATTTGCATCTGGCTAGTGGATCAAAGGATTGTTTTTATATAAACAAATTTAAGGCAGCACTGGCTAAACCGATAATCTGAAGCCAACGGGTGGTGCTGGCACAAAACCCCCTAATCTCCAGCAGTGACTGGGTGTGGAGCACACAGAACCCTCCCCACAGCCCAGCACGTGCCCTCCACCAGACCTGCAGCTGCCCCAGGGCAGGCACGGGGCACCCAGGGCAGGGAGGAGGAGCAGCTCTGGACAGAGCTGTTCTGCATCTCTTCTCATCCTGTCTCGTTCTGGACGTGCAGACTTGGCTGAGACCAAAGAAACCTGAGTGGGGACACAAATGCTGATGAAGGGAGCATCATACAGTCCAAACTAGCTGGTAATGCTTAAACGAGCAGCTTAAGCTGTTTTGATTTAAATATTCTGTCTCAAAATGGCCTCTGAACAGCAGGCAAGCTCGTCACCTCCCAGACTCACCAAAAAACAAAAAAAGGCTTAAAGTTCTGCTTGCCCTCTGGCATTCCAGCATGACATAAACACTGTTTGGACTCTCAAGCTTCCCTCCCCACCCGTGAGGATCAATCTGAGCCTCAGGCAGCCAGGGCTGGCTCGGTGTGGGGCTCAGGGGCAGCTCTCAGCAGCACACGCCGCTGTCACACGGGACTGGAGTGGTGAAAAGTTTCAGGAACACTTTGGCTTATCAAGACAATACTTAGAGCACTCCTCCCTCCTTAAGAAAACAGGTATGCTGTCTAGATAGGCAACTCTCCCAAGACCCAGCAGCTTTAGTGCACTTCAAACAAAAAGCACCAAAAAAATAAATCCCTCATGCTGAAATATCCTCCCCCAAACTCCTGGTACAAGGCTCTCAGTGGGCAGAACCTGCACGTGCTGCAGCTGGGCAGGAGAGGCTGGGAAAGCAGCTGAAACCTGGGGCAGAGCTTTGCAGAGCTCCTCTGCTGTCACCTGGGTGTCTCTGGACTATTTCTTCATTTTGGAAGTGTCTGGCAGCTCCGTGGGTGCCCTCAGACCACACCAAACCCTTGGTTTGTACAAGACAACACAGGGATTTACACTCACCAGAAGTTTCAGCAGCTTTGGGGGGGAATGGGGATGGACAGACTCCCAGAGGGAGAAGGTGCTTAACCTACACTATGAGGTTAAAACCCCAAGTATCCCAACATCATTTGTTGACTTTTTTAAATCTCTCTGATGCTTCAAGGCACATGGAACATTCTCCATCTTCATTTCCTATGTGACAAAGGGTTTAAACTTTCTTCTGGAAAGCAAAGTCTGCTGCCTTCTGCAGGAAAGGAGCTTCTCCCCGTGCAGAGAGGCAGGGCAAGGGAGAGGTCGTGGTCTGGCCGTGGGGTGCAGGCTCTGGAGCTGCCTGTCCCCAGCAGGAGGATGCTCTGTGCTCAGTGTCCATCCTGCAGTGCCAGCAGAGCCATCTCGTGGTCACACGTCTGCTTGGGGACAGCCCCAGGGCCGCTGCCCACGGCCAGTTCCAGGATGCTCCTCAGGCCCATCACACCCACTCCTGGCTCCCCGTTAAGGAGAAGCTGGAGAGCTCAGGGCCCAGCAGCAGGCCCGGGAGCAGGGTGGGTGCCAGGGAGGGCCCGGGAGCAGGGTGGGTGCCAGGGAGCCCCAGCCTGGCCCGTGGGCACCCCCCCTCTGCAGCCACACGTCTCAGAGCCAGCCCTGCCCCTCGCCTGGCTGCAGCCCTGCCCAGGGGTGCTGCTGCCAGCTGCTCAACACGGGGCTGTCCTCCCAGCTGGCACCTGCTCCCCCCCAAACACCTCTCCTGCCACATGCCAGGGCTGCCAAACGGACGCTGCCACCACAGGCTCCAGGACTGACTGGGAGCTCCAGTGTCCTCTGAACATCTCAGGGCCGTGGGGCTGAGAAGAGAAACTCTCTGCAAAGGGTGCAGTGCACACCCAAAGTGATCCTCAGCATTATGTAAAGCCCACAATGCCATAAGAGGATTATCCCAGAATTTGCCAAATTATGATGTCCAGCCAGGTGCTAGAAAGAGTAAACCCCTTTCTCCTTAAGCTGTGCCTTTCCAATTTTAAAAGTTAACTGTTATTAAAGCTCTATTCCAGGACAGATTTGTAGGTGACCATACAACTGCTCATCACAGCTCCCTCCTCTTCTCCACCCCTGTGTCCTCACAGGGTTCACCCAGGTCCATGAGGGGGGGGCCCATCTGATCATTAAACTTGTCTGATCTGGCCCCTGGGTTTAGTGGGAAAAAAGTGAAAGAAAAAAAACCTTGAGCAGAGACGGAATAGCTCGAGCCTGACAGGACACATGATTAAACCCTTCTGACTGGGGAAAGGCAATCTGGGCAGCAGAGACCACGCTGTCTGAACACATTCCTGCCTTTTAACATAAATAAATTAACAAGCGGGGGCTGAGAAGTCTGATCCATGAAAGCCACTCTTCTCCCTCAGGAAAACAAAGCTCTCTGCAGTCCTGTTGGGAGCCAGGGACATGAACTCTTGCTGCCTTGCACAGAGCAGTGCCCCTTCCCCAAAATCGTCACGGTACACTCAGAGCACCCCCAGCAGCACCTTGTGGTCCCTCCTCCAGGCTCATTTATCCTACAGCCTCAAGGGAGAAAGCACATTAAGCTTTACTGTCGTTTTTTAAACAGTTACAAACACTGAATAACTCTCATGGAGGAAACAGGTGTGTCCTCAGCACTTCAGAGAAACAGAGAGGAGACAAGCCCAGACGTAGCAGATCAAACCCTCAGAGTGGTCTGCAGAGCTCAGCCAACAGTCCTGCCCCTCCTGGAACAAGGTAGGGGAGCTGAAAACATTCTCTTATCTGCTCCAGACAAGCCAGCTCTCCAACTTCTTCACTGAGGGTCTTGTTCTCAACTTGCCAGAGATTTAGATAATGCTCGTGACTGTTCTCCAGCTATCCCAAAAAAGGGAAAAACAAATCTCCAAAGCAGGAACAAGGCATTGCATCCCCCTCTCACCACGTAGGAGGGAAACAAGTTCTGCTCAAGGAGCCAAACAACTGGTTGGACAGCCAGGAAAGGGGTTAGAAAAGCCAGAAGATGCAGATGAAGAGTCTGTCCCAAAGGTAACCTGCACTAGCACCCCAGTATCTCTGGTCTCCACACCAGAGCTGGCAGTTTTCTCACAGGGCAGTTCAGTGAGTTTTAATTGCTTCATTATACCTGCTTCAGGAACCTCAGGTTATTTGAAGTAGCCAGTTATGACTGCAGTGTTCAAGGGATACATGTCTGAGAGGACACAAGGAAATTTTATTTTAAACCCAGTAGTATATAATGATTTTGACACTGAGAAATTCTGATGCTGAGATGTTTTAGAATCTGTAATTTGCAGAACAAAGGATTATTTTAAAACACCCTTAAACCACTTGCAGAAGTGTTATTGAGTCTTCATGTTGCTCTGGTACTCCCACTTCTGTCATGCTAAGACACAAACCACCTACCATCAAATGTAACAAGACATGTCTGAACTGACCACAGCTCAGAGTTTTGTCATCTCTTTGCCCAGTTCCCACCTTCCTGCTCATTTGTTACCATGTACTGAGCTACACTGGTATGGAAAATCCAAAATTCCTTTTTCTGTATTACCAGGCACCTGACACATTTCTAAACAATGCAGATAAATGCCTGAAAGGGACCAGAAATCCCCACTGTGTAGTCCTGGAGGTGCTGCCTCTTCTGACAGGTGTCCATCATAGTCCTTCTGCACAGCCCACTTCCATCAGCACTGCTGAGCAACAGGATTAAGGCAAAAAAAAAACCCTTCCCTCTGAAAGAAGCCACCAGGTTACCTCTGTCTACCCACCCACAGGCAAACGTTTTTTTCTTTTACATAGAATAGATCAAGGCCAATAAAAACTTTTAAAACTAACCAAGGCAGTGCTGGTCCCAGGTGACCAGCCCCACTCAGCCTGTGGGAACCCACACACAGGAAAGAGACACAGAATTTCAATTACTCCCTGAGAAAGAAACCTAAAGGATAACCCCTGAAATCCCAGCTGTCACTCAGCTAGGGAAGCACACACCTGTTTAAACTCTCCTTTTTCTAAGCAGTTTCTGATAAAGCTGTTAACACTAATAAATATCAACTGGGCCAGTAAATGTTCAGAACCAGCAGAGACAGCACATCTTACTGCACAGGCACACAACCAGCACACACATGCAGCAAAAACTGAAAGTACCCCCCACTGACACTTAGAGGAGGGGAGCAGCAAAGCTTTAGCTATCAAACACTGATTCTGAGAGTCACAAATAGCAGGGACCTCATGAGGATGCTGATCTTGCCCACAGTGGTGGTGTCTTGCATGGTTCTATATTTTGAGATGGAAAGCATTCCAAAAAGTGCTTATTTTACATATATACACAGACTTACAGAAAGTATCTATAAGTGTAGCAGTCACACACTTCAGATAGTGCTTCCTCCAAGGCAGCCCACAAAATACCAACATCCATAAAAGCATCTTCTGTGGACTTGCACTGACAACTTACTGTACAGGCTGAAGAACTGAACAAAAGGTAGAGCAGAAAAGCAAGAGACAGGAATTGAGCTCAGTGTTTGCTTTTAAAACACGTTGTTCAGACTAAAACCAGCCTGGTTTAGCAGGCCCAGCAGTATCACAGTGAGCAGAGGTGTTCCCTGGGGCTTGGCCTGTGCTCAGACACTTACGTTCCACCTGAGCCCCCTCTGGGTGCCCTTTGCCTTTCCCCTCCTGGCTCCCGGCTCTCGCGTCGTCGTCGTCCAGCAGAGGAACATAGTCTGTTTTATCTACTGTTTCTCCAACCACGTCATCAAATTTCTCTGCCTCCAGAGTGGCAATGAAGTCCCTTTTCACTTCTTCCTCAATCTCAGGAGGGGGCTCTGTCAGAGCATCTGCAAGGCTGAGGTTGTGATGCAGGTCAGCCATGCTTCAGCACCTCTGCAACCTGGGAAGCGACGTGGGGAAGAAGAAAGAGAGAAGAACATTTTTAGTAAGAGACCTCTGAAGTTGACTCGTGGTTTGATGCTGACGAGCCTGTGCCTCCTGGGCTGGGACACAGGAAGGAACACTTGCTGTAGCACTCTGAAATTCCCAGATGTTTACAGAACCCCCCACCAGCACAGAAACAACCCAGCAGCTGGATCATCCCAGTCAGGTTTTGCTGCTCCAGCAATGCATTACACGGGACGTTTCCTCAGAACCTGAACAAAGAAGCCCCCGAGCACTTGGGCAGCACAGCCCCAACCTGAGGGTGATTTCTGTTTGCCCCAAATCTGGGAGCTAATGACACAGCCTCGGGAGCAGGAAGGCCAATGACACATGCGAATTTAGGTCTCATTTGGGCTCCACCCAGCCTCCCCTATGGAGATTAGGGTTTTACATAATCTCTGATGTATACTTCAGCGATGCTTCTGATCCCTTTGATGGGGTCCTGGACCACGGTTGTGTCCTCAGTGAACCTTGCTGATACCAACAAACTCCCTCCAGCCACGGGGAGGGAATGCAGCAGGGACGCTGACGTGAAACCAGGCAGCAGGGGACACACAGACACAAAACAGAGAGCTCTGAACTGGGAGGAGGTAGGGAGAGCCACTGTTCACCTTTCTGACCCTGATTTGTACCTCAGCATCCAATCCAACTTCCTGGCACCAACCAGAAAATGGACCTGAGCCTCCTCTGCAGCCAAAGCTCTCAGGCCGGCGTAACAAACACACACAAACAGTTATTTACTTTTCCAGATTTCATCCCTTTAAAGTTATTATGAGGAACAAGGGCCAAAAATAGTGACAGGAATTTATAGAAAGCTGCCTAAGGGAGCAAACCCCACCACCTCCCCGTCTGGAAGCAGCCAGCAGCTGGACACTGATGGGTGGTACACTCGCTGTTAGGTGCACGAGCTGTGCAGACTCCCTGTCAGACAGGGATTTATCCCATCTCAGGGGGCCTCAGGACGGTGCAGCAGCAGTGTCTGCTTGAGGATCAGCAGTGAATGAGGACATGGAAGTGAAGTTCAGGGTTCCAGCAACAAATTCATCCAAAGAAAAAGATGTGGTGAGTCACTTTACCTAGGCTCTTTCACTTCACAGTGAGTTCTCACTACATTGGACAAGAATCACCAATCCTATCATAGTTTGGGTTGAAGGGACCTTTCAAGGTCATCCAGTCCAACCCCTGCAGGGACAGGGACATCTGCAGCTAGAGCAGGGTGCTCAGAGCCCCCCCAACCTCCCCTGGGATGGTTCCAGGGATGGGGCAGCGACCACCTCTCTGGGCAGCCTGGGACAGGGGCTCACCACCCTCAGTGTCACAAATTTCTTTCTTCCTAATGTCTGATGTAAATCTCCCCTGCTTGAGTTTAAAACCATCACCCCTCATCCTATCACTACACACTGTTGCAACCAGTCCTGCCTCACATTTCTGCCAGGCTCCTGGCAGTCCTGGCAGCCCCCAGCAGGTCTCCCCAGCTGGAGCCTTCTCCTCTCAGCTGCCCCAGCCCAACTCTCTCCTGCTGGGCTCCCAGCAGAGGGGTTCCCCCCTCGGGGCATTGCTGGGGCTCCTCTGGCCCCGCTCCAGCAGGTCCCTGGCTCTGCTGTGCTGAGGACTCCAGAGCTGCCCCAGCACTGCAGGGGGGTCTCCCAGAGCTGGCAGAGGGGCAGGATCCCCTCCCTGCCCTGTGCCCACGCTGCTGGGGGGGCAGCACCCAAGGTCACTAAGAAAAACCCCTAGAGCTGCAGCCAGAGAACTGCAGCCGTGCAGAGGCTCGGGCAGCAGAAAACACAAAGGGCATTTGTACGTGGTGGTTAATGAAGGGCTGACCCAAGTGGCCACAGTGCAGCAGTCCAGGGTCACTGACTGACATGGGGATGGCAGAACACAGATTCTCTTGTTCCAAAAACACAAAGGCTCCTACTCCTTGAACTCCAGGCAATCCTCTGTCAGCAGGAGCAGCCACCGACACATACCTACGGCTGAGCCCTGCAGGGCAGAGTGCCACATTCCTCACCCACAGTGGGACCCCTCTGACAGCCCTGCCTCTGGAAATCAGACCAGTGCATTTTGTGTTAGTCCTGAAAGTACATTATGGAAACTAATTCTGCTCTATCTTTTCTTGTTTTTCTTTAACAATAAAAGGTCAGGCTTCAGGCAGCAGCAGCAGTTCCTGCTGGTGCAGATGCAGGCCCTGAGCAATGGCCACAGGATGGACATCTCCAGGGGCAGGGTTTGGGACTCACAGCCTTTGAGCAGGACCACAGCTGAAGGAATTCCTGTTATTGAAAAACCCATCTCTGGGCTTAGGCCAAAGAGTCTGGTTAAGGAGTTTCTTTCAGATAGAGCTCTTGCCTGTTTTCAAGACACACCATTATACAGATCATTGCACAACAACTCAGAGCATCACCCCTCACTGCAGTTCCACCAGGGGACCTGCCACTGAGAGCTTTATCTTCACACTGGGCAGCCTCTCTGGAGGAAGAAACAAGGCTCCTACACAGGCACCTTCTCCACCATGGCCTCCCGTGCTTCCAACTTAAAAGCCATCATTTCACTTTCAAGTAACTCTCTAAAAAATAAATTTGGAGCTATGAACATTTAGCATAAGGAAGAAAAACAATGTTTAAAGTTTTCAACAAGCTGCTTTGTGATGCTACTGGGAGATGCAAGAATCAAGACTGGAGGCAGAAAATAGCCACAGAACATCCAGTAACTTGGGGAATAAGCAAAGGCTGGACTGAACACACCAGATGCCACAAGAAAAAGCTGACTCCTGTTCTCCACAGCAAGATGCCAGGTCGGGCTGAATCAGGCTCTGCAGATGTCCCAACTCCTCGTGTTCATAGTATCACATTTGGTTCTGCATCAGCACCAGCACCACAGGGTTCACCCACCAGGAACCACAGAAGCACAGAATTGTTCAGGTTGGAAAAGACCTTTAAGATCATCGAGTCCAACCACTGAACACTCAGGAACCTGAAGCTTTAGGAAAATGGCATTTAGGAAAATCTCTCTTTTTAACCTCCCTCCAAATGCCCATTAGCAGTAAATTAAACTCTGCAGAGTGAACTAACAGCTCACGATTTTCCCACATTCACTTCAGATTGAAGACTCTAAACTGCTAGTTTAGTTTCAGGAACACAAGTGGCCTTTTAGGAGCATTTCCTCTTGACAGCTTAATTTTGGGTCTGCCCAAAGAGCAAGTCACTGCCATCCTCCCACTCTAATGGAACCTATAGAGAGGCCCCTTCACACTCAGCACCCCCTGCTCAGCAGGATCCAACCCCAGGAACCATCTCCTGCCAGAAACATGCACAGGCACAGTCACCAGCCAGGACAAGCCTCTAAGCAGCAGCTGGATGGCCCAGAGAGGAGTCAGCCCTTGCTCCACCGAGCTCCTCAGTGACCTTTCCTCTAACCAACTGCCCCTCCAGAGCCCTGGTGGCATCAGGAGCTGCCGTCAGCAGGGCTAGGAAAGCAGTCAGGAATTATTATACCCAAATCAAGGCCAACCCCACACAGCTCATCCTCCCAGATATGAATATTTCACCACAACTGATGGATTCAGATCATGTGTTTTTTTGATCCACGTTAATGTGCTAGCACCTTATGAAAGAGCTGCCAGAAAATCACACTGGCAGTTGTCTCTATTTCAGACCCACACAGGAACTAGGACACTAAAGCAAACGAGGTTCTGGGGGAAAATAGTAATGAGGTTACAGAGACTCAGCAGCAGGACGTTTCCCTGCCCATACATAACTCACCAGGGAACACAGAAACTATGGATGAATATTGCATTTTGGTAGCAAAGTCAGAACTGGCTCCTCAGGCATGGAAAAGCCCCTGGCAGACGCCTGGCTGCCCTAACCCAAAACACCACACTGGCCCTGGGAAGGCTCCAACAGCCCAGGCAGGGGCAGGGGCCAGCCAGAGCACCCCCAGAACTGCACTGGAAGCCAGCTTGCTGCTTTCCATCTCTGTTGTTAGAGTAGCCAAGCTACACTAATTCCCAGGCTCCCAGTTTGGGAATCACAGAGTTAAGACAGAAGGAAAACAACTGTACTGCACAGATTGTGCCCAAGGGTAGGAAGCAAATCCTGAAGCACATTCATGTGCTGACCAGCTCAGCAAGGCAGATGCTTCCTACAGCACCTTCACTCCCCTGGAGCAGGAAGCACTCCAGATGTGCCTCAGCACCCCGCGGGCTGGACTCTAATGGAACCTACAGAGCACCAGAGCACACAGAGCACCAGCTCCAACAGGAGCTTTTCAGGTGAAAGGACAAAGCTGAGGAGTGACTGAGGCTGCAGTAGGCAGCAGTTTACAAGAGCATTAAATAGTTCTTCAGCTGTGAGACAGCCACCAAGGTTCTCCTGTTGGTTGAAGAGCAGAGGGAGTAACAGCAGCGACGGTGTAACCCCAACCTGTGTGACTCAGGGTTCTACCTCTGGGAGAGCCTCAGAGGACAGTCAGGTCCTCCCTGAGGAACACTGAGCTGAGGAAGTCCTTCGCTCAGAGGGAAGGTGTGGAGAGGCACAGACTGCAGCATTACCAGTCCCACCATGGCAGCTCTACTACAGACCAGGAAAAGAGCTTTCCTGTAGCTAGACCTGCCTTGGTCCAGTCCAGGAAACACTGAAATTATTCCACAGCAAATAAACCATATTCCCTTAATTAACACTTTTTTTTTTTTAAAGAGAATGGTTTAGATCTCTTCATGTTCCAGCACCAGCTGATCTGTTATACCCAGATCTGCCCCATCTGTTCTTTTTTATGTTCAGAATCTTTGTGTACCCAGTGAGCAGACTGCTTGTTTTGATACACTCCATCCTCTTGTTCCTTCATCCGAAAGACACAGAGGAGTTATTTCAATCTCTCACCTGTATCACAGGCCTCCTACCCCACTGTCTTCTTCCAAAGAGCTCCTGCTATCTACC